ACTACTACTACATATGAATACTACGTACTACTACTACATACTACGTACAACTACATACTACTGCTACATACTACTGTAGAGGAGCAGTGGGTGACGTCACGTCATGCTTGTCCTTAGAGGGAATGACGTCGCAGGGCGTGACGTCAGGCAGACCTTGGGGGACGGTGACGTCATGTCCCAAGGTGGTATTTAAGGAGAGGCCTGTGACGTAAGCGGGGTCATCGTGGGAGCCGGGAACGGGAGAGAGTGGGAAGTTGGGACCCGGGGTAGGTTATCCTCACACGAGGCTAAGAGTGGCTACTTCACCCAACCGGCCGAAGTTGGGTAAGCCCTCGGCCGGTGTAAACCAGTTAGGCGTAAGCCAAAAATAAACTTGGCTTTTGATTTAAAGCTTTCGTGACTGCAAGGATTCATATTCTTGGTTCTTTCGGTAAAGTCACGTAGAAGGGAAACAATAAAATAATAATTTTATTATTTTTTATTTTATTGTTTACCTTCTACGTAATTGTTTCCCTTCTATATGACTTTACCGAAAGAACAAAGAATAAGAATAATAAACTTGGCGTGAGCCCCTAAAAGACCTGCCTCTGCGTCGTAAGTTGCACCACAACACTACTACTACACACTACTACAACGTACTACTACTACATACTACGTACTACATGACTACAATGTACTACTACATACTACTACTACATACTATTACATATTACTAGTATGTAAAACTACATACTACTATGTAAACACAACTAAATACTGCTACTACATACTACATCTACTACATACTACTACGTACTACTACATCTACTACATACTACATCTACTAGGTACTACTACATACTACATCTACTACATACTAGTACTACATGCTACATCTACTACATACTACATCTACTACATACTACCACATACTACATCTACTACATACTACTACTACATACTACTACATACTACATCTACAACATACTACATCTACATACAACTACGTACTACTACTACTTACTACTACATACGACTACTACATACTACTACTACATACTACTACGTACTACTACATACTACTACGTACTACTACTACATACTATGCACTACTACGTACGACTACTACATACTACTACATACTACTACATATTACGTACTACTGAGTACTACTACATACTACTATGTACTACTACATACATACTACTACATACTACTGAGTACTACTACCTACTACTACATACTATTACTACGTACTACTACATACTACTACTACATTCTATTATATACTACATACATACTACTACATACTATTACTACGTACTACTACATACTATTACGTACTACTACATACATAATACTACATACTATTACTATGTACGGCTACATACTACTACTACGTACTACTACATCTACTACATACTACTACATCTACTACATACTACTACATACTACTACGTACATACTACTACATACATCTACTACATGCTGCTGCATACTACTACGTACTACTACATACTACATCTACTACATACTACATCTACATACTACTACATACTACTACTACGTACTACTACATACTACTACGTACTACTACTACATACTACGAACTACTACATACTACTACATACTACTACATATTACGTACTACTGAGTACTACTACATACTACTATGTACTACTACATACATACTACTACATACTACTGAGTATTACTACCTACTACTACATACTATTACTACGTACTGCTACATACTACTACATACTATTACGTACTACTACATACATAATACTACATACTATTACTACGTACTACTACATACTATTATTACGTACTACTACATAATACTGCTACATAATGCGTACTACTGAGTACTACTACATACTACTACTTCCCTTTGCCAAGCCCCATGCCTCCCACCCCACCCAGGCCATACCCCTGGTAACCCTTCCGCTAACGTTCGTGATGTTCCCACGGAAAAAAACAACTCACATCCTCCCCGCCCGCCCGCCCGCCCTAGGAGACGCAGACATTCTTGGCAAAACAAAAAAAGTTTAAGATGTACTTGCAATTTACAAGGACTTGCAACAATAATAATTAAATAAACCACTCTTCTCGTTGTTTCCACTCGGGGAAACATCCAGAGGGTGCAGATAATAAACGACGACACTGGGGCCATCGGGACGATGCAACAACCTCCCAGAGGGTTTCGATTTAAATTTCGATTTAAAGCTTTCGTGACTGTAAGGATTCATCTTCTTAGGCTCTTTCGGTAAAGTCACGTAGAATGAGAAGAGGGTGCCTGTGGCTTTTTGTGTGTGCGTGGACTCGTGGAAACGTACGAATGTGTCGCAGCGTAAATCTCTTCGTACGTTGACTTTCCAAAATCCCCCCGGGGTCGTAGAGACATCGCGGTGGGCAGTACAACCCGGCCATCACCGGAGCCGTCGCCGTGCGCGTCGTGAGGGAGCGCTCACGACGAACGCCGAAAAAGTCCCTTTGAGTTTGTGCGGGGTCAACAAAGAGAGACTTCATGCTCACTTGCGCGATGTTACATTCGCACAATAATACAAAAAAAACTATTTAAAACTAAACGATATTTTGTTTTACATTTTAACCAGGTCAAGCCCCACTGAGGTGCTACAGTATATAGCTGTTTTTTCAGGAACGGACCTGGCCGCAAATGATGAGCTCAACGAAGTATGGCGTATCGTGTGGAAATTTATAGCAGTAGCCAAATACTCTAAACGCGTGGTGATGTTTATTCTAAATGTGGGGGGTGGGGGGAACCGGTGGGCCTGGAGAAAAATCCACGTGACCACGGGGAGAGAGAGAGACACGCAAACTCCAAATATACAGCAGCAGCAGGCGTCAAGGGGTCGGGATGGAACCCACGACCTCCATATCAGGCGAGGTAGTTAACATCTCCTAGACACTGTGATGATGAGAGAGAGACACGCAAACTCCAAATATACAGCAGCAGCAGGCATCAAGGGGTTGGGATGGAACCCACGACCTCCTTGATACCAGGCGAGGGAGTTAACATCTCCTAGCCACCGTGATGATGATGATGAGAGAGAGAGAGACACGCAAACTCCAAATATACAGCAGCAGCAGGCGTCAAGGGTCGGGATGGAACCCACGACCTCCTGCATACCTGGCGAGGGAGTTAACATCTCCTAGATACCGTGATGATGATGATGATGAGAGAGTGAGAGAGAGACACAAACTCTAAATACACAGCAGCAGGCGTCAAGGGGTCACGATGGAACACACGACCTCCTGCATACCAGGCGAGGTAGTTAACATCTCCCAGCCACTCGCCGCTTGGCGTACCTGCGCCGACCCCTGATAGCGAAAGCGTCCTGGCAGCGAAGGGTCAAATGGACATTTGCCGCTCACCAGGCGACAAAGTCTCGCGCAATAAGTACAAGTAACGTCTCCAACTCAGCTTCTCTCCTTGATCCTCGCGCCGCTTGCCTCCCTAACGCCTCCCGTTGAGATGTCGACTCCACTGAAGGCGACCGTCGCAATCCGAACCGAGCACAACGATTTGGCGCGCAGCCTTTCGCGTCCGGTCCTATCCTCCACGAATGGTATCGTCTGCGCCAGCTCGCACGAGTTGCAATGCCCGAGGGTGTCGTCGTCGCCCGCCCGCCTTGCGCGGCTCACGGTCGAACAAATGAAAGTCGCGGGCGTGAACGAAGCCACCAGTAAAGCATCGCCCTGCAGCGCCGCGGTGTGCCAGACACAACAGACAACCGGTGCGTTCATGCGACTGCGTATTCGCCTGTTTCTGGTGGCCGGAGGGGCGTATGGCAACACACACTGGCATTGTACTCACACGACTTGAACCTTTAAAAAAATATATAAGTGACTGTTTATTAAAATGTGTGATATGATGTTTACCTCAGGGTCGCCTTCTAATGTTTAATTTAAAGTTGACACAATCCGTAGGCCACAGTTCACTTATGGTGAAAAGAATGTCGCCTGGCTTCACAGCAAAGCCAGTACCAATGCTCACCTGTGGATACCTTGTTTTTGTCTGTGACCAAAGTAGTTCGAGAGCCGCATCACATGCAGAGCCACTTGTACACAAACACAGCAGATGGCAACAACAGCACATTCGGACTAACAAAATAGATGATGGAATAAACTGCGTCTATTTAGTTCCCAGTTTGACTGTCGTACATTTTCTTGTCACCAGTGACCCATTCCCTGCCATATTTAATGAATGATCTTGACGTTAAATTACGTTGAAGATTCACGTTTAAAAAAACCCCGGCTGCTCGCAACGAGGAAGCCAACGAGCGACTGAATGCGGCTCCGCAGGCCACAGGCTGCCGGGCAACTCTGTGCGTCTTCTTTGGGCCTTTCGGTAAAGTCACGTAAATATGTTCAAATTAAAAAAAAAAATTACGACGTTTCGATCACAACACAAGCGATCGTCATCCTCCTGATGATCGTCATCCTCTTGATGACGATCGCTTGTGTTGTGATCGAAACGTCATAGTTTTGTTTTTATATTTTTAATTAATTTGAACCTATTTACGTGACTTTACCGAAAGACCCAAAGAATATGAATTCCTGCAGTCACAAAAGCTTTAAGTCAAGATTTTACTCTGTGCGTCCTGCCAGGTAGAGAACGTCTGGTCAATTCTACCCAAGCACAGACGAAATACTGTTCGAAGCAGGACTTTGTTTTTATCAAGCCCCTATTCATCAGAATACCCTCCCCGGTCACGAGAATCTCGTGCCTCTTCTGCACTCAGCTGCTCCACCCACTCCCTCATTCACTGATTCCTTCTGGCGCCACGGTGGCCAGGAGATGTTAACTACCTCACGTGATATACAGGAGGTCGTGGGTTCGATCCCGACCATGACGCCTGCTCTGTATATTTGGTGGCAATCAATTATTGAGCTCGACCACTGGCAAGGCAAAGTGTTTGCTGACTTTGTGGGTCAATGATTGACCCCTGAGCTAGCTAATGGATCGGCCCCAGTAAGGTAGTGGCGTATACCATTCTCCACGTGCAGATCGGACCACGCCGACTCCGGAGAACCATGGTCCAGCCTCACTGCACCGTCACCTGCCAGGGCTTGACCTCCCTGCTGCTGCACCTGTACTCCTCCACCACCACCACCACCAGAGAACACACAGGGGCAACACGCATGGGGTTGAGTTCACGCAATGGGCAACACTGCGAAATTGAGTAGCATCGCTACTGCCGGCCTGTGCCACGTGCTTCCATGGCCGCCGGGGAGCGTGCCGCCTCAGTGATGCAGGCGGCTTGGCTGAGAGACTGTGCTCGGCGGGTGTGTGATGATGTATACAGGGAACGGTGGTGTAGCGGTTAGTGTGTCCCGCGCTACGAAACCCGACGACTCGAGTTGGATTCCCGCTCACGGCCAACATCAGTGACATTTATCTGAACCGGTCCTGGGCTCCCCCTAGGTAGACTCAGCCTCAATTGAGTACCTAATGCTACGTGTACAAACATTGCCAGGAGGGAGATAAAGGCGGCCGGGTGTGGTGCTGGCCACCCACCCCCTTGTGTACCGTTCTGACCTTCATAGGTGCTCGCTAACAGCACTTGCCTAACAGTAGGTTAAGGCTATTCGGGGGATCTTTGTACTTTTTGTATATATGTTGAACATCTTTCGCACCGTACATATCCAACCGTGCCTCCTTGGCCCAGCCAGGTTCACTCTCCCTTAGCGGAGAATCATCGTCACGGTGGCTCCCCACGCAACAGCTCTCTTCCTGCTCCCCCCTATTTGAGAAGAGCTGGAGTCCAGCCTGGGCTGATTTTGTGAGCCCTGCCAGGCCGCTCTGACTCCATAGAGCCTGGCGCCCGGGCTCCCGGGCTCCTGGGCACAGTTTTCAAGGCGTGGAACAAGGACGTACAACGAGCAAAGAGGTGAGAGAAGTAGGGAGAGGGATGTATTGTGGCGAGAGCTATGTGACAGAGACAGGAGACTAATGCATTCAGAACGAGAACCATGTGCAATGTGCAGTTGATCGCAAAAACATTGCACCGCAATTGGCGGAGAGCGGCGTTAGTAAGGCTTGAGAGTGTTTGCTTGGAGTCTTAACTCGGGCAGCCCACAGTTTATGGAGGAGTCTGCAAGAAAGTGCCAATAATTTGCCCAATTTGGATTTGAGTACAAATGATGGTCATTGCACACCGTGCAATGACCATCACCCTAACTACCAAATCATGGTAGTTAGGGTGACCGTGGGAGTTGTTTGGCGCCAGTGAGCTTGGTGGGGAATCGGCCACAGCCGGATTGACCTTGGGTTCATGGGGTCAATTATTACCACACTGGGAGCGCTGTGGGTGTCCGCGTGTGGGTCAGGATCTGCGTTCCTCAAGTCCCCCGGATCGTTCAGCGGCGCGCGTCCATGGGCCGCCTTGTCCCTCTCTCCCCCTCCAGCACGAGAGATGTGCACCTCTCAGGGGAGTTCTCAGCACGTGAGCAGCACTCGCGTGCTGAGTGTTATATTTTCCAGTAGGTCTCCCTTATGTTGCGTGTATTATGTTGCTTGTTTGATTAATGTGTCATTGCAATGGCGAGTTACTGAAGAGAGAAATGATGAACATGGACTCTGTAAACTAAAATGTTTTTATTTTACCAGGTAAGGCCCACTGAGCTAAATATCTTTTTCAGAAGCGATATGGCCACAAATGATATCTCAACGAAGTGGCTTATCATGTAAAAATGTTTGAAGCAACCAAATTCTCTAAACGCATGTTTCTAAATGTGGAGGGGAAAACCAGAGGATCCGGAGACAAATCCCACCGACCACGAGGAGAACACGCAAACTCCAAATATACAGGCGTCAGGGTCAGGATTTGAACCCACGATCTCGTGTATACCAGGCGAGGTTGTTAATATATTGCCACCGTGTCGTCCTTTTCATGCCAGGTTACCCAGTGCCAGCGCTGGTTGCGCCACCGTGCACATCACGTTGGGATTGTTGCTGATATACAGGCCGCTTCTCCTACAAGTATAACCCGTATTGGTCAAGACATCCCAATGCTGAATAAATACCTGCAAATTACTCAATTGGGATTACACAGCAGCAGCAGCAACATCGCCCCCTACTCCGAAAAACTTGGCAGGATCATCCTGAATGAATCTTACTACTCAGTGAGGCTTTCCTGATAGATACATGAATATGTATTTGTTTGCAATTGATTAATGTCTCTGCTTCTAGGATGCGGCTTTCCAGCAGCTCTGTGAGAGATGAGGCTTTAACATGAAACAGATGTGACAGCGCGAAGAACCGGCATTGCAGAAAGTGCCCAAAGCAGTCCATCACACTGGCCTGGTCCCCGTTAGCAGCAGCTGCTAGCTGCAAATGTTTCCTCCACATTTTGTATGAATGACGTGACGTCATAAAAAAACCCTATAGAAATAAAGCACGCCTTGCCATGCCCATAGGCGAGTGAACAGCGCACACTGTAAAGGTATAAAGTATCGTGCACACAGTGATGGCAGAGAACAGGTCTCGCTGTGGCATCACTGCCAGAATCAAATGTCAAACAGTCAACCGGTGCACGAGAAATGGAACACGTTCGGGGATGCTCCTATTCCTGAAGGAGAATGAGCATTCATAATAATGACCTCTGCTTTATAATAATAATAACCTCTACTTTATAATAATAACCTTTACTTTATGAACCACCTGTAATATTGAAGTACCTCAAAGCGCTAGACGTAAAAAATAAAACTACACTCACAAGTAGAGATACAATATAAGTGTAGTGGAGTATGAAGGTGTGTTGTGGAAACTGCGTGATTGCATGATCACACGGACAGTGTGGGTTATCTTGGGTCAGCCTGTGGAGAAGGCGAAAACAGTGTGGGTCGTGTTAGGACAGCCAGGTGCAAAGGCTGGGATGGTGAGGTAACGGTCGGGCCAATTAAGCCAGAAGATCAGCAACAGCTGTGATTGGTTGGTACTGTTGCCGGGGCTGGAGAGGCGTCGAGAAGTCTGGCGAGAAACAGGTGCGATGGTCACGCGGAGCGCCGGTTGAGACGCGGGTTAATTAATTGGGGGTGTAATCAGAGCGGGTATAAGAGCGGGAGTCGGAGTCAACAGAGGGAGGTTATTGAATGGTGAAGAGCTTTGAGATGGGTTGAAATTGAAGCGCTTAGGGGAGCTGGAGTGAAGAGTTGGAGTTGGGAGCTGGACGAGGAAGACGTGGAGTTTGGAAACAGAGTAGAAACAGAGTTTGGAAACAGAGTTTGCAGACAAGAGTGGGGAACGGAGTTGGAACAAAGTGTGAAGCAAGACGAAGTAGTTAGCAGTGGAGTGAGCGTAGCGATAGCGAAGCTGAAGCAAGACGAAGTAATTATCAGTGGAGTGAGCGTAGCGATAGCGAAGCTAAAGCAAGACGAAGTAGTTAGCAGTGGAGTGAGCGTAGCGATAGCGGAGCTGAAGACGCTGTGTGCGGAGTGTGCTAAGTCGCTGTGTGCGAAGACGCTGTGTGCGGAGGAGCTGAGGAGAATAGCCAGCAGTGGAGAGAGCGTAGCGATAGCGGAGCTGAAGACGCTGTGTGCGGGGTGTGCGAAGTCGCTGTGTGGAAAGACGCTGTGTGCGGAGTTGCTGAACGCGGAGTCGCTGAGTGCAAAGCAAGTGAAGTGATAGTGGGGAGACAAAGGTGGTGAGCGAGACGAGCGGAGCACGGCGAGCGAGCCGTGGTGACCAGGATACTGTGGAGTGTGGAGGACATGTTGAATGTTGTAAATAAAGCGGTGTTCGAAGAAAGACAGAAGTTGTCCACGTAAAGTCGAACACTACATAAGCGAAATACAAAGCTGACAATAAAAATGTTAATGATGACTCGACATTCCAATCAAATGATGAACTATGATAAAAGATAATAATAATAATTTCAGAGTAATCCAATCAGACAACGATTTTTTTATCTTAAGTTACAGGGAAAGCCTGGTGAGTTTTAAAGATGATGATTGAAAAAGTGAGACTGACGAAGGGGATTCCACAACTGCGCAGCCTGGCTGCAGAAGGCCCCGTGTCTCCCCTAGAACCTCAATACCACCGCAGTCTTATTGTCTTTGGAATGATAAGCGGGCCAGCATCAGCTGATCTAAGTTGTCGCAGTTGTATATACAACTTGAGCAAATTGGCGAGATAGGAGCCAGCATTTGGCACTCATCCACTCCACTACGCGTAGCACGCGGTGGCTAGGCATGCCGGCTACGTGACCCAGGCTACGCAACCCAGGCTATGACCCAGCCTGCTGGAGGAGTTGATTGATGGGGCTGTGTTCACACATACACGCACATACCACAAAGGCCACATGTGTGGCCTTTACCAGGCTATTGGGGAAAGTGTTGTTTGTTCAATGCCGACACGGCACACGGGGGTGTGGACGGCCAGCACCCCGCCTGACCGCCTTTGTCTCCCCAGTGCTGATATTTGCACACCGCACCAGGTAACTCATTTTACGGCCAGATCGACCTAGACGAGGCCCAGGATTAGTTCAGATATTTGTTACCGATGTTGGCCGTGAGCAGGAATTGAACTCGGGTTGTCGGGTTCACAATAGCGCAGTGCCACTACTAACGCCGCATGTCACTCTGTCAAGACACTTCCCAAGTGGCAGTCCATCTATCATACAACAACGTCTACACGTGGAAGAGTCTTCTTTCATGTCGTGAGGGCCTCCACCCGCGAGAGATGAATAACTCCTCTGGAAGACAGTGAATGGTGAAACAACCTCCATGCCATAATCAGAGGCGAAACGCCCTTGGATGAGCGCGAGTGGAATTCCTCGTTCTAAAAACCATCCGATTACATTTGTAAAAAAAATAGGATGTCTGCTGCATGCTATTCAAATTGTCTGAACATGTAACATATGTGTATGGAGATCTATAGCTAAATATATGTTTAGCTATTTACAGTCGATCGATTACCCTGCGCCTTGGGGGTGCCGGATTTTCAAAAACGCCGGATAATCACTAAATCATTATTTAAAAAAATGTTCTCGCACATTTTGATATAACGTTACGTTTTTACGTGTTATATATTTGTTTAGTGTTTTAAATCTGTTTAATATGTGAAATGGGCATAAATAAATATACAAATAGACAACTAAAATCCAACTTTAAAAGGTTACCTATTTACTGTACCTTACTAACCACTCCAATCTCGAAGACTCTGAGTGGGGTATCTTAATTGTTACATTGTATGTATTTTAATTGTTAAATTGTATGTAGTGTATAATGTACCTTATGTAATATTTAACACTGAAAATAAGCACAGCTACAGCCTTTGGAGCGGTTTGCTCGGTACGCCGGATCTGCCCGGCACTGCCGGATAACTTTATAAGCAGTCGGATAATCGCACGGTTAATCGATAATCAACTGTATGGAGAGACCTGTGTACCCGTATATTGGTAAATACATTGTTACACATTTCGCTGATTAGAATAAAAAACATCCACCCCATTTTCCCAGTTTCAATTCATCGCAGATGTAACATCAGCATGCGCCCTCTGTAATATCTCTAGCATTGCATTGTTGGTAATGATTGTAGGGGGTGGTAGGTGTCCTACCGGAGCTTGTTGAAAAAGGATCTTTGTTTTGCTAGTATTCAATGTTGTAAATATGTTGACGATGTCCTGAATGTCAGCTTCTGAGCAGGCACTGACTTGGGCATTATCAGCATATTGGAATTCAATAACGGATGTGATTGGTGTTTTCGACTTGGCTTTGATACAGTTGATGTTGAAAATGTTCCCGTCTGTCCTATATGTGAGATGAAGCATTACCACCAGAAAGATTGATAAAAGAGTTTGTGCAATAACACAGCCTTGCTTCACACCGGTCCTTACTTCGATTGGATCTGAGGTTTCACCATCAGAGAGGATGACAGCCTTCATACCGTCATGCAACAGACGGAGAACGTTAACAAATTTTGTTGGGCAACCATATCTCAGAAGGATTCTCCATAGTGCATCACGATGAACAGAATCAAATGCTTTAGTCAAATCAAAGAAGGCCTTGTACAATGGTAGTCTCTGCTCCTGGCACTTCTCTTGGAGTTGACGGGCTTAGAAGAGCATGTCTGAGGTTCCCCTGCCAGGTCGAAAGACACTCTGCGATTCAGGAAGGAGTTTTTCAGCAAGTGGTAGAATATGGTAGAAGTCTGTTTAGTAGGATTCTTGCCAGTATTTTTCCAGCAGTGGCAAGAAGAGAGATTCCTCTGTAGTTGTCACAGTCTGACTTGTTACCTTTTCTGAAGACGGTGAAAATGATGGCATCTTTCAGTTCGTTGGGAAGGTCATCATTCCCGATCCTGGCCACGAGGGAGTGCAGGTGTTATAGTATGCCTTGTCCTCCATGTTTGTAAATCTCAGCAGGAATCTGGTCTAGCCCACTAGCTTTGTTCTCTTTCATCTGCTTGACAGCTTTAGGCACTTCAAGCATCGTTGGTTCTCCAGTTAAATCCTCAGTGGTAGAGTGTTGCGGAATCTCACTGAATATAGAGGTGTCTACAACGTTGTTGCAGTTGAAAAGAGTGCTGAAGTGTTCCTGCCAGCGGTAGATGATTGCATTCATCTCTTTGAAGATTTCTGTCCCGTTCTTAGACTGAAGTGGTGCAAGGCCCTGTTTTGATGGTCCATATAAGACTTTGGTTGCTTTAAAATAATTCACGTGGGTTATTATAATCTGCAAGATGTATTTCTTATGCTTTGTTTCTGAACCAGTTCTTCAGTTCCTGGATTTTTTTCTGTACTTCCGATTTGGCCTCCTTTTATTTTTTTTCTGTTTAGACTGTTTGTTTTGTTGCCAGACGATGAATGCTTTCCGCTTCTTGTCAATGAGGCATGTGATTTCCTGGTCGTTGTCATCAAACCAGTCACAGTTTCCTTCTTATGTAGCCAATGGTGTTTTCACAGCTGGTTATAACTGCCATCTTCAGTTGTGTCCAGTACTCATGAACATTTCCTGAAGCCTCGTTGGTGCTGAGTCTTTGAGCTAGTTGTTCTTTCAGTCGGGCCTGTACTGCTGGGTCTTTTAGTCTGGTTACATTGAGTTTTTTCCTCTGTAGTTTTGGTCGGTTGATGTGTTTGTGGTTTATTTGGATAGTCATCAGTGATCGAATTAGTCTGTGGTCATTCCAGCAATCGTCTGCATTGGTCATGGCACGAGTGATGCAGACGTTTTGTGCTGTCAAGTTTCCTGACAATCACGTAGTCCAGTAAATGCCATTGATGTGATCGAGGGTGGCACCAGGAGGTCTTAAGGCTATTATTCTGCCTGAATAAGGTGTTGGTGATTGTCAGGTCGTACTCAGAACAGGTTGTAAGAAGAAGGTGACCATTGAAGTTGGACTTTCCAACTCCCTCTTTACCAATTACACCGTTCCACATTTGATGGTCTCTTCCAACTCTAGCATTGAAGTCGCCGAGGAGAATCAGCTTGTCAGTTTTTGGTATACTCTGAAGGATTTGGTTGAGTTGGCTGTAGTAGGTCTCATTGGTGTCTTCTTCAGAGTCCAGTGTTGGTGCATAGGTGCTGATGATGCTTGCATATTGGTCTTTTGCGAGTTTGTAACACAAGTGAAAATATAGTAAAGATATATTTGGACCAAACTAGGAGCTCGCACGTCCTCTGGACGTGACCATCTGTCTGTATCACCACACACTCTCCAGCCAGCAAAACTTGTTTTGTTCTAATATAATGACATTAAGTGAACATGTAATGCCCACAGAGTTAAGTGAATACGTTCATGTCCCTTTTAGCTGGGCCCTGCACCCCCGCTCCCTCCCCTACCCTCTTCTGTGCCTCACCTGTGCGTGGATCGGCGTTGACAGGTCGAGCGGCGTGCGGTTCGCGGCGAGGAGCAGCAGCAGGAGGAGGAGGCAGCAGAGCGCAAACGCGGGCTTGGTTGGTGGATAAAGCGGCCGGGTCCACCGGCCAATCTGGGACATGCTTCTCACGTCCGGACCAGCTCTATCCAAACCGGGCAGTTAACCCGCTATACAGTTCAACGGTGCAATGCCGGTGCCAGATTTCGGATGCACATCAATTCCTGCTGCCACCCGAAGACAGGTTATGGCGATTCAATCTCTAGCCACTCGAACAAGACGAGCCTCGGGAGAGAACCCCCCCCCCTAGCCATGGCGCTTCATGGGTAAAGAGGGCTCAGGGGGCGCAGGTCCAAGGGGTCAGAGGCACACGCTCGGCCCGGCGGTCGGCAGCGCTAGTGTGGTCCCGACCATGGGAGCGGCGCACATCCTGCCCCGCTCCGCGGTAGACGCACAGGCGAGGAGGGGTCGGGAATGCAGCTCCAGGGGTCACGAATTCACCTTCGAGGTTCCACTGCGCTTTAGGCGCGGCGTGTGTGTGTCTTTGGTTCGTGTCGTGTTATCCGTAGAGTGCTGTAGAGTTGTGTTTTGTGAGTGTTTATGTAATTTAATGTGCACTGCGTGCGTGGATGGCGATGCGGTGCGCTTTATGTGCGTGCGATGGTGATGCTGCAGCTGTGCCCGTGCGTTCTGTGTGTGATGGTGATGCTGCTGCTGCTGTGCTCGTGCACTCTGTGTGTGTGTGATGGTGATGCTGCTGCTGTACCCGTGCGCTCTGTGTGTGTGTGATGGTGATGCTGCTGCTGTACCCGTGCACTCTGTGTGTGTGATGGTGATGCTGCTGCTGTACCCGTGCACTCTGTGTGTGTGATGGTGATGCTGCTGCTGTGCTCGTGCGCTCTGTGTGTGTGTGATGGTGATGCTGCTGCTGTACCCGTGCGCTCTGTATGTGTGTGATGGTGATGCTGCTGCTGTACCCGTGCGCTCTGTGTGTGTGTGATGGTGATGCTGCTGCTGTACCCGTACGCTCTGTGTGTGATGGTGATGCTGCTGCTGCTGTGCCCGTGCGCTGTGTATGTGTGATGGTGGAGTGAGCTGTCACCGCTGTACGTGAGCATGCACCCCTTTCTTATGTGAAGCTGCGGGGCGGAGAGGCTGTAAGTGGAGCGTCTGGTCAGAGCAGGATGAGGAGTGGGTGGGGGGTAGGGGCCCCGAAGGGGGAAGTGGGGAGAGTTGGGCAGAGTTGGGATGGGGGAGGAATTTGGATCCCGAGGCTTTTGGAGCGGTGCGAATGTTGATTTTAACATGTGCACCATGGCTCTCAATCAATCCATTAACGGCTATACAGGATTACAGCTCGAGTAAAACAACTAGACCTCTACGGCACGGGGCTCAATGCTCTGATGACTGACTCTGGATGCGCAGAGGAGTGAACATATAAAAAGGGCAACTGTTTTTTTAAAATATAGTACAGAATTGCAGCTATGCGCAGGCTGTACTCGTCGTAAACGGTGGAAATGCCTCCTTTTACTCGCAACTCGTGTTTATCCACGTATTATCCACGTGTTATCCATCGTGTTATCCATGTGTTATCCATCGTTTTATCCACGTGTTATCCATCGTGTTATCCATCGTGTTATCCACGTGTTATCCATCGTTTTATCCACGTGTTATCCATTGTGTTATCCACGTCTTATCCATCATGTTATCCATCGTATTTTCCACGTGTTATCCATCGTTTTACCCATCGTATTATCCATCGTGTTATCCATCGTTTTATCCACGTGTTATCCATTGTGTTTATCCATCGTGTTTATCCATCGTGTTATCCACGTGTTATCCACGTGTTATCCACGTGTTATCCACGTATTATCCATCCTATTATTCACCGTATTAGCCACGAGGTTCGGCCGATCTTGGAGTGTTTCATGTGATCTGTGGTGCCACGACCGCAGAGCAACTCCGTAAGCGCCGCGACTCCCTCCCGCCCCCCGCACTAAACACACACCCGCACACAGCACACC